CAGCTGGAGTTCAAGGACGAGGCGTTCAACACCGTGGAGCTGTACAGTAAGTGGTGGACACCAAGGGCCGGCCCCACGAACTCCCTGCCACGGGCGGCCACGCTGGGCAACCTCCCGCTGACTGTGCTGAGCCCCGTGCCCCCAGGGTCCCAGAGCAGCATCCCTGCCCTTCGACCCCCTGCGGGAGGGCTGGCTGGGGTATGGGGCACACGTGGTGAGGGCTCCCCTCCCACCCCACAGGATGGACAAAGCTGGCCAGCCAGGAGGCCCTGCGCTTCTTTGCTAGGTGGAGCAAGTCCTGGGCTTCCTGTCTCAGCAGCAGGCCACGCTGCTCCCAGACCGTGAGTGTCACCCGATGCCCACGGGCCCCTAGCTGACTTCTGTGGGTCTCGGGGTCCCTCCGAGCCTCAGGGAGTCAGGCCGGGTGGGGGTGGGGAGCTCTACATGGAGTCACCTGCTCCTGCCCAAAGTCAGGCCTGCAGGCCCGGCCCCATCTCGGGCGAGGCCGTGGGCAGAGTGGGGTGGCTGCGGTGTATCCTGGGTGCCCACCCTCACAACTCCTCTTTCCCCCCCAGTCACCTGTATGCACAAGGCTTTCTAGGTCAGCTGTCCTCCTGAGCATCACCCCAGATCCTACACCCCAGAGTTCTGCCCCGAGAAGGCCCGGGCCCGGGACAGGGCTGACACCCCTCGAGGTGAATCTGGGGTCCCGCAACGCTCTTCTTGGTTTTCAGTGAATGCATCGACCTCCCGGTGGGACTGTGCCCGCTGAGTCCTGTGAGGCTGGCCAGGCGCTGGCCTCCTTGCTCAGCCACCTGGGAGCTTGGTGTGGGGCGGGCTGCTCTCAGGACTCACGGCAATTCCAAATAAAACGACCCCACAAGGCCCTACAGATGCCTCTCACCTGTGTGCCGAGGGCGGACGGCAATGTCAGACGGGGCGCTGCCCTCTCGGGGCTCCGGTCGGTGCAGGGGGAGGAGGTGGGCGTGGGGCTCACCGAGGGCTGGGCCTTACAGCCCAGAACCAGCTCTGGGTGGGGGGCACGTGGACGTGGGTCTTGGCTCCTGAGTGGGGGCTGGGCTGGGGGCAGCTGCTCTGCAAGCAGAGGTCACCACAGTCCCTGGGCTGGAGGGAGGACTGTCGGTCTGAGTTAGAGCAGACCCTCGGGGGTCTGGACAGGAGCGGGCTGACGCAGTGGGCGTGGGTGCCCACCAGGGTGCGCGGCTGGGGTGCCACAGTGTCCAGGGCACAAGAGTGTGGCTTTCCCAGGCCTGGGGCTTTGGGGCCAGGGTAGGGGGCAGGATTCCAGAGGGACCGAGCCTGTGGCTCCTCCTGTGGTCTGGTGGGGCCGCGCCTGACGTCGTGGCGGAAGCTGGGCTGGGGGCTGCCCATCACTCACGGAGAGGGGCGGTGCGTGCAGGCTAGGGGTGGGCACGCTCACACACATCCAGCGGCCCTGTCCGTCAGCTCCTGCTCGGGACGGAGAGCCCTGCTGTCACGCTGGTGCCGTCCGTGCCCCATCGTCACCGTGGTCCTGCTTCTCACGTGCAAATACCTCTATGAAGTGACTCACAGGGACGCCTCCGGGCTGCTTGCCTCTCTTCCGCGGGGGCTAGGATGGGAGGCCCAGGGGTCTCACAGGGGAACTCGATGGCCTTCAAATTCAGGCAGCACCCGCCAGGCCGAGGCCCTGGGCCGCCCGCCTGTGTCCCAAAGCCCCTCTCCCCCCCTATTGGCCCACCCCAGGCTGGCTCAAGGCTCCGGGTTGGCTGGACGCCCACGGCAGGGTCAGGTGGGTGGGGAGACTTAAACTCAGTGCCCCGGTGGCCGAGGAAGGAGGGTGACAATGGGACCAGGGAGGCTGACGTGTGTGCTGGTCTTGGAGCTTATGCCGGCTACAGGGTCCCGGCCGCAGGAACAGCTACCCAGGGAGTCCCACAGCCTCAACTGGAACAAGGTGAGCCATGCACCTGCGGTCCCCAAGGCTGACAGCCAGGCCGACTGGGGCCAGGCATGCAGTGTGTGTGGTGGCTGGAAGATCACTCCCTGAAAATCTCCAAAGGGCCATCCTGGAACAGGGGGCAGTGCGGCGAGGGCGGAAGGAGTTTCAGGCCCTGGCGTCTCTCTGAGGAGCTGGTGGCCACGCAAGAGGGGAGAGGGCCGAGGGCCTCAGGCAGGTGCTGCCTCAGGGCACCGGAGATGCTAGGTGGGCAGAGGCCGAACGGGCAGAGCGTGTTCCAGAACAACCAGATGGCTGGCAGGTGGAAGGTTCTAGCGGGGGTGGCCATGGGAAATGACTGCCCGGGAATGTGGGTTTGTGGCAGGAAGTCAGAGGGATGGGGCCGAGGGCCAAGCTGGAAGGAAGGGGGAGGCCTTTCACAGGAAGGGAATTCCAGCACATGGTAACCACAGCCCAGCCCTCGAGGCCCCAGCACACCCGGCACCTGCCTGCCAAGGCCCAGAGGGGCAGCCGGGGCCCTGTGCAGGGGCTGTGCCGACCTGTGGGTGCTGGACCTGGCCCGGGCCTCAGGCCAATGTCAGTGTCCGGTGGGTTCCCGAGGGCCCGGCTGGGAGCCTGGCACGGGCAGCTTCGCCAGCACGATCTCCACAGTTTTCAGGGTCCTGGTACATTCTGGCTGTCGCCTCTGAGTGCCAGAGATTCTTGCCAGGCAGAGACAGGAGGAAGCTGGGGGCACTGATGGTGGAGGTCCACAAAGCGGGCCAGCTGAAGGTGGTCCTTGCCTTCAGCCAGTGAGTGGACCCGGGAGGGGGTCCAGCACATTCTTCACGGAGCCCTGACCACAAACAGCCCAGACATCTCCCTGTCAAGAGGGGAAAGGGAGCCGGGGGCGGGGGGAGCCAGACCCACGATCACCTGCACATCTGACAGACCATCTCTGCGGCCCCGAAACCCTTCCTGCCCCTAAAAATTAAGGCCTGATTTTGGGAGAGGCTACCACGTACACGGGAGCACTCGGCAGAGAGTGGGTGTTCCGAGGGTTTCCCTTAAGCTGTGGGACTGACCCTGCACCAAACTGGAAAATTCCAGGAAACCAGAGCCAACAAAGGGCTCCCGCCTTGCCCCCTCCCCAGGTCACAGGGGTGCCAGTCACACACGTTAATTCTGCGGAAAGATAGGAAAAAGGCGATGTTCAGGAATACTTGTGCGTATGAAGGCCCGGGGCCTGGAGAGAAAGACCTGGGGGTGGGC